GCACAGCTAAAACGTTCAAGAAATGCGAATTGTCTTCGAGGTGGTGAGTTATACCTGCTCAAGCAACTGAAACGGTGCTAAAGTTCTGTTTCAGTCCCCGAATTTGTCGGTCAATCAGTTGAAAAGTTAGCTTTTAATTTAAACCCGATGTCTTCTTCAATTTTGCCCGGAATCAACATGTCTGACTGTGGAATTTTCAGTACTTTTCAAAACTATTCTGCGCCTGGGGCTGAACTTGAAAAGAAGGCCTTAACTAATCCCAATCCAAAATAACAAGAAATTACTGGCATTTATTCACTTATTATTAATGAAATATTTATTTATTACAAATGGTAGGCGTTTTGATAGTTATCATTAGCCCTTTAGCTGACTTTGGGCTTCCCAGGGGGAAGGAACATCAAAGTAACAGAAAGTTGAGGGGTGGGGAACAGAAGAGTGGTTTACAGTTGTAAAAGAGACAGACACAAAGGCAGAGAAAAGGTAGGATGATTACTATGGAAGTGGTAGATTATGGCATACAGTGGGGTCACGGTAGTTTGAAGTGAGAAGTCAACTGCCAGTTAATAGACTTTTTTTGCCGTATGAGTATACGTTGCCCAGAGTGCACCACGTGAAGGTAAGTCTATCGCACACCCTTATTAATGAAATAAAGAATGAATGAATGTCAAACTTTCTAAAGTAATAGGACTTACTTTGTTGTTCTAAATAAAATAAAGACAGAGTGAGTAAAATGATTATTTATGTTATTTGTCCAATAAACGAACAGTTTGCTTTGGTAATCATAACAACAGAATTTTTAACTTAGCGCCATTTTTGAATATTAAATGAAAATCACAATTATGTAAGAAAAACAGAATAAATCGTAACCTACATTTCGCAGCCTATCGGGTCCTGCTAATTAGCGAGGCATAAAGGGGGCGGGGAGGGAATTCAGCTTAAAAAATAGTTACAAACGAATTTGATTATAAATTGATTGATTGATTGAATTAGCGCTGAATATAACACTCAAGGATTAGGGCAAAATTTCTACTTATTGATGGGGAGTAGTGTTATCAGATACGTAAACGTAAATAAAATAAATACCTGAACTTTCATTAGGGAAAATCATGCAGGCAAAAAATTACGAATGCAAGTCTATAAAGCCTTAATAAAAATGGAAACCAGGACCAAGAAGTACAAGAATTGTAAAGAGTAGGAAGAAGAGACCACCTTGACCTGATGATGGAACAAGAACCGGTCCTGAGGGTGGAGCATGGAGATATACATATGCCTTGCTATACTTGCCTTCTACCCAGTGTCTCGTCCATCTACCGGCCAGCCATCTGCGTGATGACAGAGTAAGCTCCACACTGGGGCGGACAAGATAGCTAAACTATCCACGATTTTGGGGTTTGGAGCAAACGTGTTGTTTGCGTATTATTTACGGTTATCCCGATACTTCTTTCTTCATCATCTGGTGGCGACTTGAACAGTGGCATAGGAAAGAAGAATTGTCGATACCATTTTGTGATATTTAGACTCTATCTTCAATAGAATCGTTGATACGCTATTATTGCCATTAAACACGATCGAATTATTTGCGTTACCAATCGATGGCTTCCTTCAAAGATTATTTTGCAATTCAACTGACATCAGTTACCCGAAATGGATTAATATTAACAGAAAATGAAGAAAGCCGAACTTTATTGGATATAATGTTAATGGTCCCGGAAGTAACTGCGTTAATTTGAGCCTTTACTGATTGGAGAGCTCGATAATTTGATGAAATACTAACCCGTTTTAAATTGGTATATACCTAAAAATGTAAGCAGAAGAATGTGTAGAGTGCAAAGGCCTAAAGTGGTTTAACTAAAAAATCTCATGCCCGCTTAAACATTCGATATCCTGCGGCCATGCAACTGATCGCGTTGGGGATCAAATGAGGTCAGGCTGGCAGAGTCACCTCAGCCAATTAATAATTAATTGTCATTGAAGGTCAGGGTGTCCGAAACCGTATTTAGTGGCATCATAATCTACGCAACCACAATAAATGCATTTCGCGTCAACTTCGGTAACAATTTCATGCACAGTGATTTTGCCTTTGATATTGTTGAGGTCAGTCGAGGTTTTATTCAGGTATAGATGTAAATAATAAGAGAGAACAATGAGCGAGTTAATGAATGTAATTAATATTGATTGATTATTATTGAATTAGGGGGTGCGCGATAGACTTGCCAAACCCTAGCAATGGGCAACGTATACCCATACGCGAAAATGTCTACAAACCGGCTGTTGACTTCAGACTTAAAATTGCCAAAAAACCCCACTGTCCCTTATCTTCCTCCACTTCCACAGTACTCGTCTTGTCTTTTTTTCTCTACCTTTGTGTCTGTCTCTTTTACATCTGTGAATCATTCTTCTCTTACCCCTCTCCACATTTTTGTGACTGTCTGTTCCTCCACTCTGTGAAACCCGAAGTCAACTAAAGGGCTAATGGTAACCATCATAAAGCCAGTCTTTTGATTTACATAAATATATTTTTTTTTTTGAAAATAAAATATAAATATATTGATTTACATAAATATAGAATTAGAGCCGAATAAAACGGCAAAGCTGACTAAGCTGTAAGTAGTGATCAAAATTTCTTCCCCATTATTCTATTTTGCCGAAGTTTGAGATATACAGATTTGACTATAATTAAATTTTTTTAAGACGCAAAATAGGCATTGAAGATTTTGTTCCTTCAACGTAATCCTCAACTTGGTAGAAGTGTTTGAGAAGAACTTGAATGTTTTTTACGTGCCCTTACAATTTATTAAGAGGTGAACTCACAATCAGAAGCTGCAATTATCAGCTTAGAATCTAGAGTTGGGGTCACCTAATCTATAATTAAATGTGAAGTGGATTTATTTGGCCTTGATCATTATGAAGCAATGATTACATGGATTTGGACCAAAATGCCACATAACTATATGAGAAAGAGGAAAATAAAAACAAAAAAACCACACCCTTAGAAGGCGAAAAAATTAAAGAGACCATGCAAATTGAATTTTTTTGACGGAAAGAAAAGTGTAAGCTAGACTTTCGAAAAATTTTTTCATTTATTTCAAATGACAGGCGTTTTGGCAGTTATTGTTAGCCCTTTAGCTGACTTCGGGCTTCACAGATGGGAGGAGTATCAAAGTCACAAAATTCGAGTGGAGGGGAGGGGAGGCAGAAGAGTGTTTCAAAGATGTAAAAGAGACAGACAGAAAAAAGGTAGAGAAAAAGGTAAGGTGAGTACTATGGAAGTGGTCGAATATGGCATGCAGCGGGGTCATGGTAGTTTGAAGTCAACTGCCGGATTATTGATTTTTGTGCCGTATGAGTATACGTTGCCCAGGGTGCACCACGTGGAGGTAAGTCTACAGCGCACCTCTCAAAAATATAGAATTTGATTTAATCTTTTAATTTGCCATTCATTTAACAGATAAGGTAGAAATTTTGTGCATTTCTTTGCTTGCATATATTAAGCTGAAACTTTTAACATCGTTTTTCGCATCAAAGGCGTAATTGTTGCCACAACTAAGACTGTGGCACAGATTTGAACTCACGGTCACTAACACAAACAATGTTAAGCACTTTGCTTCGACGCAATTATTATTAAAATTGGGCTTTTCAGAACCACATACTTTCAAATACTCCTCTCCTCTCTCTCTCTCTTCTAAGATAAATTGACAATTATTACAATTGCATGAACTCGTAGCATTAATTGTGTATAAACGCATACATCGAGGCGTCTTTCCGGTTTGATGACATGGATCATAAAAAAGTCTGACTTTATTATGACTATATTCTGAATCATTTCATCATTGGCTATCGATGCAAGTGCCACATTTTGCATTACCACTTATAGGGATTAACCCTTTAACGCCCCAATTGTTTCTTGAAAAAGCGCTCCCAACCGCCCTCACGCGTGTCTGACAGCAGCGGACTGATGCCTCTGACGTGATGAGTTTTGGTGGTATCAGGCGAAGGCTATAGACACGTATTGAACATGTTTCCAATGGCAAAAGCGCCTTCTGTTGGGCGTCTAGTTCCAATGGAGGATATTTTGAAAGATAGCCGTGAAATCACATAACATTGGGATTGCATATTGTACAAATAGACTTCGCAATGTAAATTTTAGGGTATATCACAAATACTGTCAATATTTTTTATTGATAAAGTTGCCATTATATTATTACCGTAAATTAAATAAAAGAAATTGATTACTTTTGATCACAGAATCGAGATTTCATTAAATCGAGTGATTTATAAAATCACCCATCAACACCCATTGATATGACTAATTACTGGAGGGATAAAATCAACACCCATTGTTACTCCTAGTTACAGGAAGCACCACAATAGGTTCCCTTATCACATCCTGGTTACAGGAAGCACCACAATATGTTCCCTTATCAAGGAAAAGGCCTTGATCCTGTATGAAAAGCTACTGCGCATTCCTATGGATAAGTTCCTCAGCACCTATGAGAATGGACCAAGACATCTGAAAACGCAATCTGATCTAATACAGAAAGCCATAGAACTGAAGAAAGAATTACAAATCGATGACTAACCAAAAAGACTCTCTCCCCATGAACCCATTAGCAGACACTGATGTAGTGCGTTGCACCCAACTGCTTGATTTCTTCAGGAAATCAAACACCCCTTCAGAGCAAATGGGCTCACTGGCCCTTGAGACAATCAATGTTAACTATCCTGCAAATCAATGGCTCCAAGTCTTCACTGATGGGTCATACATAGAAAACCAAGCAAACGTTGGTGCAGGTGTCTATTCTGAACTCTTCTCTTTCTACACAGCAGAGGGACACAATAGATCTACTTTCGAAGGGGATAAAGAGGTCATTAGGATAACATTAAGCCAATTATGTTGCCTGGATACAAAACTCACCAAAGCGGTGATACTTTCGGACTCACAGTCAGCAATAAACTCAATTGGAAACAGAGAGCCTCCCAAAAAAGCTGAGATAAAGGAATGTAGAAAACTCTATGAGCTGCTGAGAGAGAAAAACAAAACAGTGGTCCTACAATGGATTCCTGGTCACTGTGGCATTAAAGGAAAGAGCTTGCTGACGCACTTGCTAAGAAAGGGGCAACGATTCTGCAATGTATGGACCGGCCGATGTCTTTCCACACAATGAAGGCCTTAATTGGAAGAGAATTCCAGACCTCAAGGTGCAACGAACTCAAAGCTCGAACAAAGGAGAAACAGTGGACAGTGGCACTCTCCAACATAGCCGACTGGCCAAGAATCGAAGCCGTTGTTGAGTTTAGACTACGTAGCGGACACGATTGCTTGGCAAAATACCTTCACGGATTGGGAGCATACACTCAACCCACATGCCCTCTATGTAACCTACAGGAGGAAATGGAGAAGGCCCACCTGATTCGGTGTCCACCCCTAAAGACAACGACGGAAACCCAGAGATACTGGGAAGCAAGAAGACAGCTAATGAATTGGTATTAATGAACTGCTATATACGTACCCCCCACCCTTGGGGGAAGCCGAAGTCAAAGTTTAAGGACTAATGATAAATATCATAAAGCCTGCCATTTGAAATAAATAAATAAATACCTAACTAGCATTGCTAGACATGTGCGAAATAGAGGAAAGAACTTAAGTGAAAAAGTTAATCTTTTATATTATGTTGAAGTGCCGAGAAAAAGACTATTTGCGGTTATTGCCTGAGGCAAAGCCTCTTCTCAACTAATGAGGGTGACCTTCTCTCTCGAGAGAGAGTTAGATTTGCTCAATTCTGTGTCTCAACAAAATTAGCATATAAGAGTGTCCTCAATCACTCCTTAGTTGATAAAACACTTCAGGTCGCTTGAATATTGAACAGTTAAGTATGCCTAATAGGTTATTATTTAATCTCATTTGTGGAACCTTTGGAAATACTAATAGGAACACTTTTTCTCACAACATGGTGAGGGTATTACACAGGTGCTAATTTTGAAGAAGCATCCAAACAGAAGAGCGTCGTGCTGAGGAGATAAGGTGAGGTGGGAGGAAGGGGGGGGGTGGGGGTGGCAGAAGGGGAGATGGAAGTAAGCAATCGTATTGAAGATGGAATGTAACTTACTTTGTTTGCCATCATAATGTATCGTGATTTCCACTTTTCCCTAAAACGATCTGATTCATTTAGCAATGTCTTCGTATTCTGAAGTTGCCACGCCGAAAATCGACCCCTTAGTAAGAAAATGAGTTCCTATTCGATTTTCAATCCACAAATTTATTTACTAGATTGATCATGCCAACCTTGTTGAATTCCCATCATTGGCTAGTTAGAGAGCAAACAAGTGGAATTAATAGAGTTTTTTGACATTGTAGACTTCCCTGGAATTTGCTCGCGGTGAATTTAAATAATTTAAATAATAATGCGACATTAATGGTGTAACATGTCTTGAGAACGTTGAGAGGTTGAGGTAATGTTTTGAATCCAGCTAGAACTCATCTTAAGAAAAACAAAGAGACCTTTTAATTGCTTCTCAGCAGAAAGTTATTAAGTCATACAATTTTTTTTGCATCCTGATCCTCTCTTTCTGGGCAAATATAAAACTTTCTTGAGACGTGGCTACTTGGAAGAGACCGAATTTCACCTATCGTTAGCTCTGTCATGCTTATTTTCTTGTCAATTGTAGTTAACACGCTCTGTTTAGTCTCTGCGGGTTATATAGATGATCTTTTTAAACAGTGAATTCGGACCATTTAATGTCTCAACTCATCCGCAGGGATAAAACTCACGAGGACATTATTGTGGATTTCATTGTATTAGTCGAACGAATTTCAACGTTATATGATTAGTAGTTATAACGGGCAATTATCGATTTTCCCTGGTAATATGTAATATTTATAAAAATAGCAGGCTTTATGATAGTTTTCAGTAAAGCGTTAGTTGATTTCGGGCTTCGCAAGTGGAAGGAACATCAAAGTCACAGAAAGTCGAGAGGAGGAAGAGAAGAGTGGCTCACAGGTGTAGAAGAGACAGACACAAAGGTAGATAAAAAGTTGAGATGAGTACTGTGGAAGTGGTGGATGGACATACAATGGGGTCATGGTAGTTTTAAGTCAGAAATCAACTGCCCGTTTACAGACTTTTGGCGTATGAGTATATGTCTACCAGGTTGCACCACGTGGAGGTAAGTCGATCGCACACACCTCGAATACGTAACATTACTACATGAAATCTCAGATTTAGCACAGCAAATTAAGGGCGACAATCACTTATTCGGTAGCAATTTTTGTTCTCAAATGATGCTTCAACTGCTACTAAAACCGGAGCCCTACACTTAATTGGAGTGCTTCTTGTGTAATCTCTAATCAGGCTGGGTGAGGAGGTCATTTGAGAGGTTAATTATACACTAGAAAATCTGGCAGGATATGGTTATAACTAGAAGGGGTGAACTTAAAAATAACCCTTCAAGGAACTCAAATTACCATGACTTTAAGCAAAATCAGTGTGATTAACAGACCTGTTATTCCAACGAGAACAATGTAGACAGAGAAATGGAATCAAAAAGGCGGGGATGTTCCTTAAATGAATAAACTGAGAGAATTGATAAAATTTTTCATCTTGAAAATTGGGAAAAGAAGGTGGAAGCAACAGCCCAATCCATATTGATTAAAAAGATACCGTACAAAAAGCTTTGGAAATTAAAGACAAACATTATGGCAAATAAGCGTGTGGCGGATTCCCGCCCCACCCTTAGTTTAATAGGAGAGGGGAGAGGCAACTCAGAATTGCAGAATTTATTCCCTTTAGACATTTATCCTCCAATTTTTGCTTAGCTTCCCTAATTACTGGTAATAAGTCTCAAGTATAACAGGTTTGTTCTTCTTTGGTCATTCGTAATGGATTATTGCATGTACTTCCCACCAAACTCATCAAAGAAGTTTTCCGAAGGGTCAATTTTGGCTTGGCTTAAGAGGTGGAAGGGGTATTTTATTGGAGGGGAGAGGGGTGGAGGAGCTTCTATCATTTTTCCCATTAACGTTGCCCTAACCAGCAACCCCAAAACTACTCAGTTCAAAAGGTGGGGTTTTTATTGTCAGAACTCCTTGTCATAGTGGGAGAGTTAATTCAGTGTTATACAAATTACCATCTTATTCAATTACCAGTGCAGTCGATCCTGATCACGTGAGTATTTTGCAATAATTCTTCCTTATGCAAACAGGGGTCTATTTCAATAGGGAGGGGGGGGGGGGGGTTAATAAGTGATAATCAATAATCATTGTTCAAAAGCAAAATCAATTATCGAAATGGACTCAATGGACTATGTACACTTGGCCAACCATTCTAGTATCCTTTAGTAGCCTTCAGCTGTACAACCCTGATGAAAGAAAATGCCCGTCGTATAAATTTCATTGAACTATTTGCCTTCCAAGAAAAGTACTATGAAGTTATTTCCAACACTAAGTCTGAGTACGAAATGAACTCAAACAATTGTTGAAATGAATGAAGCCAAAAATATGAAGCAAAATTATTTAATGTTTGTAAGAAATTTGGAATGAGTAAATTGGTGGAAATTAAATTGTTTAAATAAAACAATTCACATCATTTGTTAAAACACGGTCACAGAGAGATCTTGACTAATTTTGAAATCCAACTGTCCCTGAAATTCAAGAGCTCGAAGCACTCTACTACCGGACACCTGGCAATGTTTTCAAGGCATGGATACTCGTATTGTTCTTCCTGTTCACCATTAACCCTAATTGAAATTGGATCTCCACAGATACGGTTGATTTGAATGTAGGAGGAGGGGGAGGGGGGGGGGGGAATTCTATCAAGACGGGGGTTGGGGGGAAGCGACAAAACGGCAAAGTAAAAATGTTAGAGACCTCTTTCACTATTGCAAACAAATAAAACTGGCAATCATGAGAGTTTAAAAGGAGGGTTTAGTGTATTCCTGTATTTAAACAAGAATTCAAAAATATTGGCGAGGAATACCAGTTTTTTAATTAAAACTATGAGTTAATGTGCTGTATTTTAGAAAATACTGCCTTCTCAACCACTCCAATCTCAGATCTACTTATAGATTTACCCTATTATAAATGAAATAAGGATCAACATACTAAGTTAATGAAAAGTGATAAGATGAATGCAAAAACTACGAGGTGAAAAGATTGGCCTGTTAAATTCTAGCAACAAATCAGCACACCCAATAATGCACGCTTTACTAATCACACTTTTGCAAATTTGATATTTAGTGTACACTAAATATTAACCTCTATTTTTAATGATTGAATAAAGTAAATAGATATTCAATTAAATTCAGGTCATCAGGCAAACGTTCAATCACAATAGATGTTATCGTAAATACTAGACAATTATGCATCTGATAATTACAATAATTGAATAAAACCGGGGCATTATTTCGGAACGCTTAAAATCAAATGATTGCATAAGAAACCCCATCATTCAAACTAAAAGAAAACCACCTTGATTTTAAATCACCATTTTTTGCTTATTTCTCCACATATTCTACACGCAATACGATTATCTTAAAATTTAAGCTTTTAAGATGAAATAAGTGCATTTATATTTGCTTAACATACATTTGCCATGTTGTGAACTTAATTGGTAGTGAAGACAAAATCATTGAGAGAGGAGTAGGAGAAAGTGTTTTTATTGGCTGTCTGTCTCCCCTCCGAAATCACGGCTCACAGCGAACCAATCAACTCACGAATTGTGCCCGGGGCGCTAAGCAGGGGGCGTGAAACAGCCTTTAGGGTCTGCTTAAATCTCCACAGTCATTATGTGACGAAATAAAACTTCACAATATTGCCACAGGTCTTTAAAACAAATCGACATCTGTTGCGAGTTGCTCAAGGCTGACCCAGAAGGCATAAATCCAAACTGAAAACTTCTTCAACTTTTAAGAAAATCGCCTCTGGTAAGGAAAGAGGGAACACTTTGAACACTTCAAGCTCAAATGGATGTAAGTTCAACTGGCGCATATTCCTTTTACTCTGGGCTAACTTTACTTTCATCAGTAGTTTACTAAGCAAGTAGTATAATGACGTTCCTCGATTTAGAAATTTCTTGATACAACTGATATTCGATCAACATATGAGCATGCATCGCATCATCAGGCTTCTCTAACACGTGGACCTGTTATGGGTGAATTCCAAACCAATTCCACCGGAGAGAAAGCAGAAATTTCCACTGAACTATCATACATGGGTTCAACTACTCAGATGACTCCAATGGAACAAGTGATGGCAAGAAGCGAAGCAAGCCAATTTCTCTCGGGGTCGTCCATGGTTATGAGTGCCTCTCAGTTGGCTAGATACACCAACATGCATCCTAATGGGGTTTATGAAACTCTTGGAGATTTGATGTTCCCCAGAACGGCATCGGCTGGTACATCCAATCCTGCGGTCCAAGTAAGTCTGTCATTCTGAATTAAGGTGGAGTAACCATCTTTATACCCTTTTATCATAAGAATAAGGTGAAAAGCTCTAAAACTGTAAATCGAGAGTTGGAGTTTGAAAAAAGCCAAAGAAAACTCAATTTGCATGGTGTGGCTTTAATTTCACCTTGTCCATTATAGGCCGACATATTGAACATGATTTTTCTGGTTTGTCGTTGTCAAATTCTTGAATGGTTAGACATTTACAGATTAGAGCAGTTAATTTCCGACTAAATCCTGAAGTACAAAGATAACATTTTATGAGCACTCATAGTTATAGTTAAAAAGTTATTCTCCCCGTTTGTTGGCTTAGTGGGTTCATTCTTTGTGCCCACGTGGCAAGATTTTCTTACGTAAGCTTTCCAATTCTTACTCTAATAAACTTCGAACGGTAATGAAATGTAACCCACCGTTTGTTTTACAAAGGGGGATAGCACAAGAGACGAATTGCGATCTGTCGCTCAGAATACAAATGCATTTCACCCGTCTGCGCAAGAATTGACCTTTTCACAAATGAATGTCAGCAGTCATTATCTTCAAAATCCGAACCCCCAGCTTCCCGAATATCCCACTAATGCGGAGGAAATGCAACGACCGCAACAGTCATACCAGGTGAGAACTGAGTAGCATTATTATTATTATTTTTGGCTAGATTCTAAGATCTATTCCATTTAGTCAGTGTTAATGAAGGGACAGAGGTAAAATATGACCGAAATGTAAACAGTAAGTGTTTTCAATGCTTTAGGCGGCTAACAAGATTTTGAGTTAGAAAGGAGAGCTGAGACGCGTATTGACTGTCTTCGTCTTACTATGGCAAATTGAATTAGTGTTGGGAATACTCGAGGGTCAACGTGGCTGATTCAATGAAACCGTGGTTTCAATTGGGAATAGGCCAAAGCAGTGGGCATTGTGGAGATATGTGCTTTCTGGAGCATTCATGTCCTCAAGAGTGCTTAATGTTCTGGTTAAGTTGTGATTGTTTAGACAGAGCACAATTTGTTCATCATGTAACTGAAGTCGTTAAAGTATTTTCATGAATCCAAGCCTATGAAGTCACTCAGTAGAGTTATCTGATGATTTAATGAAGATATTATCCCTCCCCCCACAAAAAGGGCTTTCTTTACGTGTATGCAGTATATGGAACACGCTCGGGGAATGGAACAGAAGGTAATAGAAACTGGACGACATGCCAGTTGCAGGTACTCGATTGCTTTTCCAAAATGTTCTTGGTTCTTGGCTTGATTTACAACTGTTTTTTTAGTTCAGAATTTACGTCTTTTGTCATTTGGTTACTGAATGGATCCATGCCACTATGTTCCTTGACTTGGTTAGTTCTTTTCATTGGTTTGCTAACATTATCATCAGAAGCAGCTGGTCGTCATTACGGGAGGTGGGGCCATAAAGCACAATAATTTCTTATTGCTTCCTATTGAATTTTTTGATCATCATCATCATAATCACAGAAACTCCTCCTTTTAGCATATGTATGAGTCTTCCCAATTGGAGGAACAAGGCAGTGTTTTCTCTTCAGCCGGAAGTACTGCGCTCAGCCACAATGATTCACCACATTCGAAATCGGAGCTAAGCACAGTTCTTCAACCGTACTCAGGAATACCAAAACCGAGTGGATTCTCCGAAATCTGTCGACATGCTTACAGCCAAGATGTGCCAGGTCATTCCACTCAACAGCAAACTTTGCAAGCATTCCTTTTCCCCTCTGTGACTGATGGCACGCCCTCAGGAGGTCATCTATATCAGCAAATGTCCCAAATTTGTCATCAAGTTCCATCAGGCCAATTTAACTATGGAGAAACAGGCTGTGAAAAAGTACCTACAACGTGTTCTGCCTCTGCTCCAATTATTTCAGTGACCAATCAGAATCAACCGAGTATGAGGATGGCTTCAAATGACTTCTTCCAACTTAATGGATCCCCTCGAAAAGGCAAGTCATAAGACAAAAAATTATAAAAATCTTAATTTTGCATAATGCGCTTACATGATTTAAAATGTAAAATTATTTTTTTATTTCAAATGGCAGGCGTTTTGATAGTCATCATTAGCCCTTTAGTTGACTTCAGGCTTCACAGAGTGGAAGGAGCATCAAAGTAACAGAAAGTCGAGAGGGTGGGGAACGGAAGAGTGATTTACAGATGTAAAGAGACAGACAAGAAGGCAGAGAAAAGGTAAGATGAGTACCGTAGGGGAGGTCGAATATGAAATACAGTGGTGTGATGGTAGTTTGAAGCCAGAAGTCAATTGTCAGTTAATAGACCTTTTTTGGCGTATGAGAATACTTTACCCAGGGTGCATCACGTGAAGGTAAGTCTATCGTACACCCCAAATGTAAAATTATAAGACTCAATGCAAACTTTACTTGTAGTACACTTATTTATAGAGCAAATGATTGTCTTGCAATAAGTGAAGAGACAAATCATCTAGTTTTAAGTTAACTTTTAATATTTATTTATATTCATATTATTATTAAGTTATTTTGGAGTATTGAAAACAATTTGCTTAAGAATCAGTCTCCGTATTTACATGTCTATTGTATTTGGTGCTTTTTAACGAGTTCGTTAAAATGTAGCATTAGTAATAACACGAGGGAAACTCAAGATTACTGTAGAAACTGCGAACCTTCACTTAGTGTCAATACTCACACTAGTCTTTCTAAAATAAATAATTATTTCGCTAAATTTGCCTCTTAGGAGTCAGCATTTTAAAGCAACCTGCTTTTAACAATTAATGGGTGTTGTGCGTTTGTGATTTCTTTTTACTACCCATTCTTACTCAAGATGGGACAACACAAAACGGATTTTCTTCAAAGGAACTCGATCACCAAGATACAAACAATGCCAATTTTCTAAATTATTCCTTCCTTAAAACCGCAAGCTCCCAAGTTCATTAAGAGAGTAATGATTAGTTTAAAGATAGGAAAGGTTGTATATTTACCCCCTGAAATAGATTCTTCAAAGTCTTAGTTTTTCACCGCGATCAACATTCATTTAGTTGTATTAAAAACAGGATATTTTGTTATTACATCCTAATGAGACCGCTAATTGGACGAAGGAAGTCGACATTTCAAAATCTAGTAAGCAGACTCGAGAGGTCTGTGCAAACTCAGTAATTACCCTCATGCAATGTGATATTCCCATCACTCAATTCGAAAAGTTTTCCGGCTTTTAGTTGCAATAGATCAGTTCAAAGCTCACACCCATTTAAGGAGTTTTTCTTCTTATCACGTTGATTCAACTCCCAAAAAAAGCAGATTTGATTTTCAAAGGTCTACAAGGCAGCCTATATTCGGTTGCTAAGTTCAGAGAGAGCAAAAATTAATAAATTTTTATGCCTGTTTGTAATATTAGTTGATAAAAAATTATTTTAACTGACAGGGCACACAGTTATTCCTTAAATGTCAGTTCACAGAGACTTATTTGGAAGTGAAGACTAAATAAGCATTAAATGTAATTTACCCCAACACCACGGTAAAACAATTACTTAGCCAAACTTCCAATTTTATGATATACCGAAGACACAATTCACCCAAGAAGGGCTAAAAACTGGATAGGAGGAAGAAAATGAGTCAATAAACCGAGAGATAAGTAAATTCCCAAAGGTCATTAATGGGAGGGGAAAGTGACAAATTCATTTAACTCAATTCGGTCATGGCAACCATATTTCCGTGAAGAGCGTCTGTTTGTAAGTGGTTTGAGGGAGTTCTTAAGTGTTTTAAAATTGATGGTTCTAAGTATCTATGAACATAAGGAGACAGTGAAATTTTTCAATAAATCATGATTGGCTAGGTTTAATGAATCGGCTTAATTAAACTGCGATAAATTTGCTTTGGAGGTTTGTTTTACTGAAGAGTCGGATCAGAGGTAAGACTTAAAATATCATTCCTTAAAAAGAGGGGAATTCATGATATTTGTATACTTGTAGTTATTTATTTATTTATATCAAATGGCAGGCGTTTTGATAGTCATCATTAGCCTTTTAGTTGACTTCAGGCTTCACAGAGAGGAGGAGGATGAATATCAAAGTGACAAAAAGTTGAGAGGGGGAATAGAAGAGTGATTCACAGATGTAAAAGAGACAGACAGACACAAAGGTAGAGAAAAAGATAAGATGAGTACTGTGAAAGAGGTCGAATAGGAAAAATAGTCGGGTCATAGTAGTTTGAAGTGAGAAGTCAACTGCCGGTAAATAGACTTTTTTGCCGTATGAGTATACGTTGCCCAGGATGCACCACGTGGAGGTAAGTCTATTGCGCACCCCCCAAATTGTAGTTATGATCCTCAAGAAGTAAAACAATGCTTATCTGATTGGTGATAGGCTAAGGTTTGGAGGAAGTGGAAATTGAACTCTAGACCCGAGTCCAAAAGAGGAAATTATACACCATGAACTGACCTAATTTTAATGATCGGGTGGGAGGTGGTGTGGGCGGGGAGGGGAG